GTCAAAGGACAGTTGCAAAATCATTTAAATGCTCGGTGTTCACTGTAAACAAAATGATAAACGTTGATTTAAATCTTAAGAAAGTGAAAAAACGCAACGTGCATCGTCTTCACTGTATATAATATATAAGCGATATGCTTAAGCATATCGCTCAACGCAGGACACGCTGCAGAATTCTATATGAGAAACACTTATCCAAAGAAAAATGGAAACCAATTGTCACAATAGATGAAGCATGGGTGTATTTAAATGATTGTAACAAAAAAAGAACCATTTATTATCATAAAAGGGTAGAAAAAAGTTTAAGTACATGGCTCAAAGAATCGAAAGAAAGCTTTTCTAAGGGATTCATGATTGTTGCTGGTTTTTCTTATAATGGCAAGTTAAAAATAAAGAGAGTGAAAAAAAAAATGTCAAGATTAAATCCAAATACTATCAGGAACATAGTTTACTGCCAATTTTTCTGAATGAAATACCATCGCTTTAGCCACAGTGCCATCCATCTGTGAGACTCCATCAGGACAAAGCTAGCAGTCACACATCAAAATCCACTGTAAATTTCCTAGGAACAAAAAACTGGTATCAAGGCCATACCCTTCACTGATATCCCTACTAAATCTCCCGATGTGTCACCTATGGATTTTTGTGCTTTTGGACTTTTAAAAACTGCATTACCCAAACGTTGTCCCAAAACCCTAACAGGACTCTGGAAAGCTGTTCGGGAGGAATGGGATAGAATACCTCTTCTGCCACTTCAAAAGGCATTATTATCCTGGAAATTGCGGTGTCAAAAGATAGTTCAGAATAAGGGATGTCAAACAGAACATTTAAAATACAAGAATTTTATGTAATTTAGTTTTGTGAATACAATATACATCGTCTAAAAAATGTGTGAACAGCCTCTGTACTGCTTGCCTGGTTTTAGATATCATCGAGCATCCCGTGGTCGGAGTGCCTCCCTTTGAAAATTAATGTTCTAGATGTTATACCAATACACATCAATAATTTGTCCTAACTGAAATTTCACACTTTATTTCCACATCGCACTTTTGATTATAATTTTTAAGCTTTTAAATTTCAGCTTCTTTTGTAAGTCAGAAGTGATATACTTAAATGTTAACTACAAGACAATATCACAGCAAAAAACCATGGGTGCTATATTTGCCAATGTTTCAGTTTCATTGCTCATCATAATCATCTGAAAAAAAAAACAATGAGCACTGGAAACTTAAAGAAATACAGAATAAGCTATAGCAAAGTATATATATATATATATATATATAAAGCAGATTTACAATAAGCAGGGAATCTCAATTATTGATATTGTCTGATACAATACATATACAAAGAATATTAATAGTGGAATCCCATAAAATTTAACATAAGATATAATAAAATATTTAAATATGAATTAAAATTAATGGGATAGCTTTCAAACAATGTTAAAAAAATCAACTATAAGGTATTATTAAATTATATTTTTTATTCTATAGACACAGAAAGCAAAAGTGTATTATATGCAAGGAACAAAATGCAAACATTTGATACCCACAGTATTGCATCACTTTTTCTGTATATTACTTTACTTCTATTACAGACCTAATAAAGTCTATTTTTCAGTCATCTCCTTAACTGAAAGTCAGGGTAATTAAGCCAAGTGAATTTAGAACAGTAAGTTGTGATGTGGGAAATGAACAATTAGCCTTTCAGGTTTAAAATAATCTACTTTAAAAGCAAGCTATGAACAACATACATTAAATGGAAGACTACTATATTACCCTAAATAGAAAAAAAAAAAAAAAAAAAAAATATTAAATTGTATTTACCTCACAGTGGGAAAAAATTATTAATTAAAAACAAACCAGCTCAGATGCAAACATCCCATGACACAAAAGAATCATATGCTTAGTATGGTAATTTTCCTTTATATTAAAAAAAAATTATTAATGTTGCTGCAAATGCACATTATATACTGTTTACCCCTGATGAATAACAACTTACCAGCGCTACCCAGTGTTGGATACCTATGTAGTTTTTTCGCTTATATTTGAGGAATGCTCTGCTCAGAGAGCCATTCAATAAATAAAAGTGTGATCTTATAATGACAATACAGTGTTTAATTCTAACTGAAAAAGAAATATAAAATAAAATGTGTCTATCATATCTATACATAGCCAGAAAGCAAGTTTTGGCTACAGCCTGTATCATGAAGATAGCATGATATTACACAGAAATTTTCCATAAGCTGTGTGTGATACATCCATCCATTACTTACATGCATCGTTTGTAACATCTACTACTGCAGCTGAAAAAGCAATTCACAATCTTTGTATCCAATCACATACATCTCATACTAAGAAAACTGAATTTCTTAACCCTTTGTTGTTTGTTCACAATGCACATCACAGGTTGTTTTTCATTTGCTTTCACTTACACCTAAACTGGTAATGTTCAGAAATACTCAACTCCTCTCTATATTGCTTAATCAGAAAATCCAAAATAAGTATATTTTGATTCAGATGCTTTGCAAGCAATTATGTTCCTATACTACTTATCTGCTGATATTTTCATTGTAATTCCTAGTTGTGGCTAAAAGGCAACACCTTATGCTTTAACTGATTTGTGTTTTAAAACATCTTATGTTTTAATTTAATTTGTGATCTAAATGTTTTGACTGATTTACAAGAAAAATTAATGATGAGCATACAAATTATGACATAGATGACGATTCAGCAAATATTGAAGAGAATTGTGAAGTAAGAGATAAGGCACAAAATATGGAATTGTTGAGCAGAATCATAGCATACCAGTGGCTGAGTGGTAAAGTTGCTGAACAGTTTACCAGGGTTCAATTCTAAGCAAACAGTCTGGCTGCATGGGCATTTTTGTGGTTTTCTCCATATATAATGCGAATATGAGTTAGTTTCACTAAGAACGTTTTCCAAGAAGATATCTCTCTCCCCCCTAGACAGATAGCCCTTGTGTGCTTTGCCATAATCAGATAAATCAAACTTGGAGAGAATGACCTTAGCAATAAAATAGCAAACTATTTTGTCAAAACAGATTAAAAAAGACTAGACAGAGAAATAAAAGTATTTCAACAGAAATAGTAAAAACTGGAACTCATAGTACAGCATTCACATACAGGAAGCAATTTCCTTAACATTTTCCATCGCATTATAATATACCATTGATATTTTTTGTGTCATAAAACAGAAATGTTACACAAAAAAGTATATGTCTATGAGGATGCATTTATTAATTATATATAAAAACATTAATTTTAAGGACTATTAATTGCTTACATATAATACATTAATGCTTTTATTTGCTATAATATTTATTCTCATTAATTAATAAACATTAAGCACACACTAAGCACTGTAAATGCAAAGCAACTGTTATAATACTTTTCATGAGCATTTCTAATAACGATGTCCCCATTCAATTACAACTGTGACAAAGAGTTAATCTAAGAAGGAGAAAGTACAACCTTGGTCTCACTGACTTAATTTTTTTGAATATATGTGAATAGAGAGCATGCAACTTTAAAAAAATAAACAGGAAAATCAAGGGTAGAATAACCTTATTATTGAAATTCTTCTCTTGTCAGCAAGCATCTATGAGTCAGAGGTATTACACACACTACAAGTTAGAAGTCCTCATTTCAAGTCCAGTCACAACCAACTTTTTTTTTTTTAATATATATATATATATACATATATATGTAAGATAAAAATATGTAAATCAAACTTCTGATTTTAATTGGCCTTTTGGTCCTTCATTAATTGGGTATTTCCCTCTCTGTTTTAAAATAGTCACTATTTATAATACATCAATCTAAATGCATAATTTCAAAATTAATCTATATCATATGATCTTATGTAATGTTGCAATGATGATATTTTTTAGTCAAACACTGAATAAGATTTCAATTGAAACCAAAACATATTGACATTCTTCCACCTTTCTTTCTGAATGCATCAAACTTTTCTGCTTTTTTTTTTTTTTTTTTTCTAAGTGACACAATTAGCTCATTTTTCTGTATCATCCACTGTCTGAAGATGTGCTAAGCTTTAAAAATTGAAGAATTGCATGTTGCACCCATAATGATATATGAATTAGAATACATGTCTCAAGAAGCATCTTGCCCAGAAATAAAGTTATGCAGTAACTACAGCTATGTATGTCTGCAAGTTTCATCCTTCTACTATGCAATTACACTAGCACCATCAAAAACCACTGGCCATGTTTAAAAAGTATTTCTATCATCTCTCTCTCTGCATCTTAAATTATTACATATATATTACTTTCTAAAATATTTCTTTCTGAAAAATACTTTTGACAGAATAATGTAAAAAATTAAAATTTAATCTAGTATTTTATGCTCTGAAGTAAGTACTAGCTATATTAACTTCACGACAAACACAATAAATTAGAATAAAATCAATGAAAACTTGCTTTTTGGGAGATATTTTTGTAATGCTTTATTTTTCACCTTAATCCTTTTAAAGTATTTTTCAAGTCAACAAGTGATTACTTTTAAAGTATTTTCTTCAAAATAAAATATCATTAAAAGAATTAACGTAAATTAAAAACAGTTTTAGTGGAAGACGGGTTCAAACAAAAGATTTCTAACTCTTGTAGCTGAATGCAATTGGCACTCACTTGTTAGAAAGGACTTAAAGGATTAAAATATTTGTCAGTTCTTCAAATTATTTCAATTATTATAGTCTCTCATTTTTGCAAGATATGGACTTCATTTTACATTCACTTTTAAGTTCCTCTTCAATAATTTCATAACGTTTAAGCAAAGACAGAAAGACTATGTGTATTCATTCACCTTGTGAGCAGCCCTCATCAGACAGTTTTTGAAGACATTTTCTTAAAAAAACTTTGATTCTTAATAAAACGTTAAATAAAACATATGAATACAGCACTGTTAAAATTGCAGAACATAAGCTTTTAAATAAGCTTCTACGAACAGCATCAAGCCTTACCTTCTAAATTAAAAGCTAAGCCCCATCTCTCGGCCTCTTGCTGGAGCCAAGATTTCTCTGTCTCCAGAGAGGCTTTGCCTAAAACACAAGAAGCATTTGCAAAAGCCACATACACAACAAAACATGTTAGTAAAGCATTTAAACTGAAATATTAGAAAACATGAAAACTCTCACAGCACTATATGAAAGGGAGGCTTAAAAAATAATGCGAGCAGGTGAAGTATTTTATAGGATAAATGGGGAGAAATACATAAAGATTTTAAAATTAGCACCAAGTTCAAAATTAAATGTATTAATTTTGCAAAAAACCCAATAACTTTCATAGAAACTTGCCAATGATATACTTTTTTTAAGAAATAAAAATATTTGAGTTGTTTTGTGAAAAAGAACACTCTGATTAAATTAAAACAAGCATTTAAAAATTTTAAAGAAATTTGCTGATAATTTTTTTTAAAATTCTAGTTTAAAACTAAAAAGCTTAATACAGACATGTATTATAACCTTTCCTATTTATAAACATTATGCTACCAGGCTAGACAATATATTAGTTTAGTGGTATTCAAACATTTTAGTTGACGAGATAGCCTTGACATATCACAAATTTCCCATAAATGTCCAATGCAAAACAATGATTCCCCAACAATTATATGGTACAATTAAATTGTTTAAGTAATAAAAAAGAATGATATACATATTTCAAGTTCACAAACAATTAACTAATCTAAAATATATTACATAATTACTTACTTTAAGCAATAATATAACTAAAAATATAAATCATAATCAGTGGGACAACTCTGATTTTTATTGCAAATTTTCTGACATCCTTGTTTCATGTTAATTTTCTCACAGAACTTTTTTTTTTTTAAATAATAGTCACTACAAGAAAAACTATCTTCATAAAATAAAAAGTATGACATTACAAACAGAATAAAAAATTCTTTAGTTTTATATTTAGCAGCTTATATTCATTTATATTAGCAGCAGACTACTGATTTTTCAAACTAAGTTATTTACAGGTTGTTGAATTTTGCCTCCCGTTTATAGCTCTAAGATACCTCAATTACGTTTTCTTCTGTAACAGTAAATTCAAATAGAACCTTTGTTTTTCCTGAGGTCTGATTCTATGCAAACTGTCATAATGACCTTCTTGAAAGTATTTTCAAACTAACTGCTAAGCTGATAGATGGTCTTCAGAAATAATTAGCAAGTTATGCAATTTAAAAATCCTCTCTAGTAATTAAAAATCTGATGTGGACACCACATAAGTTCCTTGTATGGCCTATTTAAATTATACACATTTTAAGCTGCATTTCATTCAGACTTAGTTCCTCGAATTTCATTACAGAATATAGAAAACATAAAATACTAAATACAATTAAAACAGTTAAATGCACAATTTATCAACATACAAGAATAAATAAATAACAATAAAAAAAAACAGATCTCACTGAGCCGAGTAACAGAGTGGGTATATATACACATTTATATATATCTGGTATGGGTAGTGTGAACCAAAAAGGGAGGTGCACAACTACATATTATAGCAATCCCATATACAAAATTTCAACGTTCTGAGGCTACTCATTTTTGAGTTATGCACGATACATATGTATGAACTTCATGAAAATATCTCTTCCGAATCCATTTTATTATCTGTTTTGAGAAAAAGAGTTCTTTATTCTGTCCTTACATGAAGATGTCACACAAAAACATTGTTAAAATGCATTTGACAGTGGTCAAAATAGATATTTTCATAAGAGTATAATACCCAAAATTTTCCATTATTACAGTACTTCTTTCTTTTACTTTATATAAGGAAGTAAAAAAAAGTACAAACCCAGTTCCGTCAATGCAAAAGTTTTAGTCACATATTCTCTTATAATGAGAAATTAAAAATACGAGGCGTATTCGGAAACTAAGTAACGTTTTGAAAAAAAAAAAAGTAAAACAATTTTTTCGAATCCAATTTTATTTTTACATGAAAATACATGTCTTAAACTATTTTTCAACATAGTTTCCGCAATGATCAAACACTTGTCATAGCGGGTGACCAGTTTGTATACATCGTCAAAGAAACTTCCCGCCTGTTTTGATACCACGACTCCACAGCATTTTCGTGTCATCGTCAGATCCAAGCGCTTGCCACCAAGCTTGCGCTTCATGTGCAGGAACAAGTGATAGTCGGACAGCGCCAAGTCGGGCGTAAGGGGGGGTGTGATCGAACTGCTCCAATGAAACTGTCGAATTAACGATTGAGTGACACCAGCAGTATGGGGCTGAGCATTGTCATGAGCAACACAATTCCTTTACTGAGCATTCCTCTTCGTTTGTTTTGAAGGCACGCCTTAGTTTTGTTAAAGTCTCACAATATCATGCCGCATTAATGGTTTCACCTCTGGGAAGAAATTCAGTAAGCAAAACGCCTTTTCTATCCCAGAAGACAGTGCACATGATTTTTTGTGATGACACCGTCACTTTGAACTTTTGTTTTTTCGAAGAATGAGTGTGTCTTTACTCCATCGATTCTGGTGTGAAATGACACACCCAAGTTTCATCACCTGTCACAATTTGCTTTAAAAAGGTTTCTCCCTCATCACTGTACCGCGTGAGAAATGTCAGGGCACTACCAAGTCGCTTTGTTTTGTGAACATCAGTGAGTATTTTTGGAACCCATCAGGAACACAGTTTGCGATAATTCAAGCGGTCAGACACAATTTCGAACAAAACAGTACGTGAAATTTGTGGAAATGCTTCTGAAAGAGTTCTCATTGTGAAGCGTCTGTTCTCATGAATTGCTTCATCAACTTTCCTTACCAAATCATCGGTGACAACAGAAGGCCGACCACTCCGAACCTCGGCGTGGACATTTGTTCGACCTGCATTAAACATTCTTACCCACTTTCTCACCATTCCATCACTTATCGCGTATTCACCGTAAACTTCTGTCGCTTGACGATAAATTTTGGCTGGTTTAACATTCCTCGCATTCAAAAATTTAATCACGGCACGAATCTCACAGTCAACTGGGAGAACTAATTGTCTTAAACATTTGAATGTGCACAGCAAACTGAAAACACACATAGAGCAACCAAAATGGTGACAATTGAAAGTTAGTGAACAAGAAAGACTAGTGCGCATGCACGGGATGCCTACCACAGCGCTAGAATGAAACGGTACTTAGTTTCCGAATACGCTACGTACGAAGAGTGAGAAAAAAATTTTAAAATCAACTGACATTTGACAATTGCCATTTCGACCATAGACTATTGTGTTTTTGGTCTCTTGAAAAGTACAACCACTATGATCGATGGACTCTAGAAGGTAATGCAGAGGAATGGAAATCAATACCTTGGAAATTTTATAAAAAACCCTTCTATCTTGGAAATCACAATGCAGACTTATAGTCTAGAAAAAAGGCTATCATATAGAACATTTAAAAAAAAAGCTCTTTACATTTTAAACATTAATTAAATGATTCCAAAATCATTTTTAAAATGCATTAATTGATACTACTGATTATTAGTTGTATCAGTTGATAAACAGCCAATTTGAAAAAAAAAAAAAAAAAAAAAAAAAAGGCAGCTCCATACATATACAGTTACTATAAAATTGCATTAGTAGTTTTTTTAATCTTTAATATACTATATTTTTCATGAATTACTAATACAGTACAAAGTCTGTAATCCGGACATCAAAGCTACAAAATTTATGCGCATGCATATGTGTTTACGAGTGCGCATAATGCGTTTACGCATGAGCATTTAATGTATAACAGACGGTATAAGCTAGGCTAAAATTATCTAAGGCAGTTAATGTTGCATATTGCACTGTTCCTTAATCTTCTAACTGGATCTGGCTTATTATTTTTTGCAGACTGTTAGAGCAATTTTATAAAAATTACGCTTGAACTTTCGATGATGTCAAAAAGAGTTTCCAATTCTGGAGCTGTCAAAGGAACCTACAAAGTGAAAGCACGTTTCGATGTCCATTAAACAAAAAAGTGGCATTGCTGCAAAAAATGGATAAAGGCATATCCATCTGAAAATTATGTGAGAAGTATGACATTGGAAAGTCAACTATATATGACACAAGAAAAAGGAACTTTTTGAATTTTTTGGTGGAAGCATCTTAAACCAACTTACATTGAAAGAAATGTTTAATAACAAATAAATATTAAGCTTTTTTTTTTTTTTTTTTTTTGTAAATTTGATACTCTTTAGATCATAATTGTTCTTTATTTCATAAATTACGATTTCATATTTTTAATTGTATAATTTCTGCATGCTATCTTACCAGATTTAAATTGATGATCTATAATCCAGAAAAGCCCCTAATCCAGAATCACCAAAAACCTGACGAGTCCGGATTACGAACTTCGTACTGTAGTACTTTATAAAAGAGATTAATCAAATGATGAAGACCTTGATAGTTAACTAAATTAATTTAAAATTTTATTAACAATTGTATGTAGCATTAATTATCTACTCATTTTCAGTTTCTAAATACTTAAGTTTCCGTCTTGCATTTTTCAGTAAAAATTTATTAATTAAATAAAAAATATGAAATGTAGATATAAAAATATTCCTCCTCCCTGCTTGCACTCTCAGATGAATTATGTAAACATGCATTTAAAAACTTTAAAAACTTGAAAAAAGAAAAAAAGTCTTTGATGTTATTGTCATGTGATGATTTGTAGCTACTCTATTTATATACCCCAATATTTTCTTTGACCATGTTTTAAAAGTGCAAAATTTTTAGACCACTTTATTTTCCATGATGACGTTTCGATGCTTTAGAATCGCAATATTCCCCCTCGCTTTCTTTCTCTCCTTGCCTTGTTTTCTCCATGATGTTTCCGTCAGCAATTTCTTTGCCGTGCTGCTTTAGAATGTAACTACTCATATTTATGCTTAGCTTTATGTAATATCATTTAATTTTTGCCAAGACAAAATTTTCAAAGAGACTATTTTCTACTACATAATATTACAAACAAAAATACTTGCTTTCAAGCATTAAAATATTACATAAAAAGGAGCAATAATTGTATTACAACTTATTTAAAATTAATAGCAGTAGATAATTATAAGATGACACATTTTCTTGAATAGCTTATAAAGATTTTCTGCACATTATGCATGAAAGAATCAGTGCTTAAGATAGATTCTAAGAAGCCAATAATACTTGGGAATGACAAGATTAAAGGAGGCTTTATGAAAACTGAAGCCTTCAAAAGTTTAATTTACTAATAAAGAATTTTTCTGGATTAATTAAGCATAACTAAAGTTAAAAGAACAGTAATAAAACCAAAAACAATTACCAAAGAAATATCAATTAATTTCTTCTTGATTATGGATATTTTGATGTGAGATTTTCTACAAAATCAATTATGATGGCATATGGATACTAGAATCTTCTATGAAACCAAGGTTTAAGTTTCCCTAATTTTAAAACTTTAATTTACTCAAATTTACAAACAGCAAAAAGAATTTGACTGTTATGATAGAAATATCAAAATAGCATTAAAAACTGAAGTAAAAAAAGTCCGTCAAAGGTTTATAGATTATATATTGAATGATGATTAACATTGTATATCAACATTAGTATGATTAATATGTTGAAATTATAGTAATTTATTAAGTTTAACTTGATGTATGATACTAATAATGTTTTCTTTTCTGAATCTAAAGGGGAAAAAACTGAAAGGTTTCATATTTTAAATTACGTCCAAAGGGGTGTTTTTTAAACATTTTATGTGTTACCTTTATATATTAAATATCATGTTCTTTGCACTTAAACCATAAAATTCAGTTTAATAGCAATGTTGCAAAATAATTTTAAAATGAGCCTTTCTTTAGAATTTCCGATACACAGTTCCGCGTGCTAGAGATAAAAAAGGTCCCCTTCCCTGGTAGAGTGTTGCCATTGCTCACTTTTAAATCGTTGAGTTTGTTACTCAAAAATTCGTTAAAGTTTTACAAAATATGAAATCGATAATAAAACAAAATTCCAAATTTGGTCTTCTACATGCCCATATTCATAGAAGGATTACGTTATTCAAAATTCAATGGCTCTATGTACCATTGTTTTATCACAATGCAAGAAATATACATACATTTATGCAGATTTTTTTATTATTTAATTTCTTCAAATATAATGCAGGATTCTAACATTTGGTGGCAAGAGTTCAAAAAGTGATTCACCATTTGTAGTGATTCACTGCAAAATTGCATAACGAAAACAATAGTCCTTCAGGATCAAAGCCCCTTTAGACTAAAAAAAAAAAGATTCATAGAGCAGCAGATCATATACAATTCCAATATATTCCTTAAAAACTTCTATGAATACATTTTATATAAACCTACAAAAGTTCATTATTCATCAGATGCTTACTGCCATTTAAAACACACTTGAAAAAAAAGTAAAATATCTGTCAATATCAATAATAAAATTAATTTCATGGAGGACAGTCTACCCATAATTTTTAAGCTATATATATTTTATTTGTAAAAGAAATAAAGTCTACTCACAATTTTAATTGTATATACATGTACTATCATGGAAAACCTAAGCAGAGACAGTAGTAGATAATCACAAAATTGGAGAAAGGGCTTGTAAGAGCACAATGAACACTTTGTTTAGCAGCAAAGTGATTCATATTCAAATAGCAGAAATACGATATCACAGGTCACACAAGAGCATGCTAATTAAAAGTCTGTAGCAGGCAGGTAAAGCTCATCAGAATAAGCCACGAAAGGAGTTATCAGAGATGTTCACAGCAGAGTCCAAGCGAATTATAAGTGTAACATGATTAAGAGAAACCATCTGAATAACTTCATACATGGAAGAATGATCAATAAGTTTGAAAAGGGGTGTAATATGCTAAGACAGGCGAAACACTTGGGATCTACCCTACCACAGTGTCTTTTCACATACTTTGATAGCCTTCCAAAACACTAACAGAGCAGCAAGTATGGTTAATGGGTGTTGGGAAAACATTGCTAGTGGATAACCAGTATATCATGTTGCATATAAATAGAAACCTATATCAATAGCAGACAACATTTCTCAGCAAAGCTAGAATAGCTAGAAAACTACTATTTGATTTTGACCAAAAGGCTGTGAAGTGATATATAATTTTAGAGGATATCAAGTGCTGAGTTTCACTGTGCCAGATGACCTTTTTAAAAAAAATGACTTTTTCATCCACTGTCTCGAATGCTGCATCTCCATGACAATAACAGCTGCCATTGGTAGAATCATTTAGACCAGGGATTCCCAACCTTTTACTAGCACTGACCCCTTTGAAAAGAATGTCTTTCTTCCTTGATCCCTTATATTTTTCTCTATAACATAGATCATACAATATAATCGTAATGGTGAACGAGGAAGCAAAAGTTAGCTTGTTGTATTCTTGTTAAATGTAAAGGGTACATTTCCCTTTTGATGAAATATATGTGCTTTGAACAAGATTTCTGTTAAGAAGTTTCAATGGCTAAAAAACAGGTGCAAGGTTCTGCTGTGGTGCATCAGTCTTGCTTTCTTCATATTTCTTTATTGTGGTTCTGAGTTTTACGTTTTTGTATTGCACTTGATGATTAAAAAAATTTACGTGTTATAAAAATATTACTGATTTTAGAAATATATTAAATAATTTTTGTGTTAATTTCTCCTTATATTTAGTTTTTATGATTTCTTACATAATATATGATACAGTTTTATGTCAATAAACAACTAATTATCAATTTTATCAATAATTTTCGTAATCAATAAAATTTTGACTATGCCCATACAGACAATATATATTCGGTTATCGAACTTTTTGATCATCATCGACTCCCAGTGAGTCTATACTAACCTCAATGGGAATCCCTGATTTAGGTCATTACAAAAAATTGAATGGATGAAACATCACTGGAGTTACTACATCTTTACAGATGATATTCGTTTCAGTGTCATAAACAATTCTACATACCAGCTGATAAGGAAAGAGGCAGTAACAAAGTAACATCAGGGAAAGAAACTAAGATTTTGAATGGTTGCCTGGGGAGCATTATGCTGAATGGCCACAATAACCTCCACACCTTGGGTGGATACACTGATAACAGAGACTGCCATTTCCATAAAATGATCCTTCTCCAGCTTCATCCATTGTTAAGTGCTGTTGGCTCAGATTTTGTTTTTTGGATGAAAGCACTAAAACACATCAGGGTCAGAGATAATCATTTATACTAATGCAATCTTTTTATAAAGCCTTTTTCTGTTTGATTCCATATGATATATATAATATGAATTCTTTAACTAATTTGTTTTCCTTCATCCTCTGAGCCCAAAATATTATCTGTATTCTAATTTTCATGTCACCCACATGACTTTTTTGCAGAGTTATGGAAAGAAAATCTACCAATGACTAAGTTTGGCACACTATCATAGGTCTTAAATATAAAAAAATTAATATGATATTTTAATGAATTCATAATCATATTCTTTACTCTGATGTAAAACAAAATAATAAAGAAATTTCAGTACTTAAATGTAATTAATCAGAATTAATAGACCACAATCATATTAAATGAGAAACAATGCAATTTTTAATATTGTGTCTAATTATTACGCTTTGCTAATGTGTAAAAAATGCCATAATTTTGTAGAATAACCTGAATATTATCTCCTAAAATGAATAACTGAAAGCTATATTTAAAACTATATGCTTCAATAAAATTACAAAAATACATATATATATGTAATATTATAAGATAAAAAAAAAACTACAAACTACTTAAACATACAGTCGTAATTACGCGAAACTAAGGAATCTGGAGGATAACGAAATGCAAATATCCAGTCTTCTTCCACCTTCAGAATTCTGCCAGTAATACGAGCATAGTATTCATAGTTCTCTCTTCCAAATAAGTTACTAACACCAAAATTATCTATAAGGAACTTCATAATTCGTGTTGCCACCTAGAATTAAAGATTATTATTATTATTTTCTCTTTAAATTAGCATGATTTTTTTTAAGAGCAAATACTTATTCACAGCTATTCTAGAAACAATTTCCAGTTATGCAAATATATACATTTATTATACCCACTCACAAAATAAAATTCTAGCACACAAATTGGACAGGCGCTTAGCACAGCAAAGTGAATTCAATTTAAGTAATCATTGTTAATTTCATTAAACTGAATCAAATTATATAGCAATAATTCTTTTCATGGAATAGTCCAGGATAACATCACTCCCAGACGTTTCCCATTTTATAATATCTATCTTATTTAATACATTCATGCTGATTAACAAATTAGACTTGTGGTGCATTACTGGAGCCAAAATGTACAGGAATGAGATAAGACCGATTGTGTTACTAAAGCCAAAATGTACAAACAACAATATAAGACTCAATCATGCTTTTCAAACCCTTTACATGCATTAGCTAGTTTCAATTATGCCGAGTGCTTTGCAATTGATTTAAGACTATTATTTCATATTATTATGAAATAATTTAGAGTTTAAATAAAGGCTAGTATAAAAATAATTATGAAGAGGCTAGACAGTGATAATTTAATTTATACCTTAGAAGACACTCAAAGGGATATCATATAATATATTTTTACTTACAAGATACAGCACCTTCCAATATATGTATATTAAACTTCAAAATGCCAAGTAAATCAAAGGCCAATTCCAGTAATCTTTGATTAGATGTAACAGAGCAAGTTTTACTGTTTCATGTACGGAATATTCCACCAAATGGAATTAATTTACAGAAAATATACCATTATGCCTTTTGTTGCCATGAATTCTCACACTTCCCAAGGTACAGTTTGCTGCAAAAATTCTGCAACACCTCTTGAAAACATGGATTCTGAGTATATAATCATACTTTCAAAATTAATTTCAATTCCAAATTTAATAAATTACACACGATTTTGAAGGTAATTTTAAGCAGAATTCAAAACTTCTCCTTTTAAAAAGTTATAAATGAAAGCACAACTAGTTATTACTTTAAAAAAAAAAAAAAAAAAAAAAAACATTTCTAATTATTTTTTTTATTTTTTATTAGCCACTTTTCTGATGGCCAAAATTTTGCTTATGAAAGAATGGTTATTGCTTGCTTTGTTCCCGATGTAGAAAACTCCCTGTTGCAAATTTGAATTTCTTTTACATTAGTTCAAAGAATGTTATTTGCAAAGTAATTATGTGTGCTAATTACTGCACTGCAGAAGGAAGGATTATTTTGCCATTAATTCGATACAAAATCAGGCTGTCATCTTACAACAATTAATAGCAATTTCAATTTAACCAAAAGTTTGGAAATCAGCCCAAAGTGAGATGACAAAGGAAAAGTATAATACAAAATGATCCATTTGCTTTTAAAAAATTATTTTGATAGTTATGAAAACTGGAGGCATAAGTACCAGATAAGCTTTCAATTAATGCTCCAAGTGGAATATAAATCAGGGATTATGAAAATGGCTTACCAGGCCACAAGACTATGCAGAAATCTTTGCTTTATAAAAAAACAGAGGCTTCAGTGACAACAAAGGTCACATGACCATGTAGGACAGACTATGGATAATGGCATAAAGTTATTCAGAGTGAAGAAACAAACATTCTTTGACATTCCATAATAAAACCACATTTATATGATCTGTATGACCAAGGGGAATAATGAAAGAAACAGCTCTAGAGCAGCAATAAAACATCCTACTGCAAATGAAGCATGGGGTTACATCTTAAGTCATAAGAAGGCTAAATATGCACACAGAAAACACTGAAGGGAAAATAATCATACTGTAGAAAGGAAAATCAATGCCACCCAATATACGAGGATTGGAACTTTAATAGTGGCAACTATTTATTTACAAGGAATACAAAAGTGATTCATGTCACCATGTTTTACAGTCCTTCAATATAGTCGCCAGCATTGTGTACAACCCGTTTCCAACAATGTGGAAGTCGCAGGATACCTGTAGCAGCACCTGTTTTGTTGATAGTTTGAATGGACCGGTCTACTGCCACAAGAATCTCAGGAACAGTTTAGAAGCGAGTGCCACGAAGTGGTTCCTTCATCTTAGAAATTAAGTCATAGTCACAAGGGCTTAGATCTGGGGAGTATGGTGGATGGTAAAGCACTTCCCAGCCCCATCGCTTGAACAAATCGGTCACAGCTTGTGCTGCATGCAGCCGAGCATTGTCATGCAAAATGAAAGAAGCATTCTGCAGAAAGTGTCGCTGTTTTTTTCTCAAAGCTGGTCGAAGATTGTGCTCCAAAAATGAGCAGTAATACTGCGCAGTGACGGTCTGATGTGGGGGAACGGTATGCGTTAGGATGACACCATCACAGTCGTACACGAGAATCACCATAACTTTCACATTGCTGGGGTTCTGACGAAGTTTCGAAGGTCGTAGTGACCCGTGATGACGCCATTCGTTTGATTGGCGTTTCAGTTCTGGCTGGTTCGATCGGGCCCAAGTCTTATCCAGCGTAATGATACGGCGTAAAAAAGCATCTCCTTTGCGCTCATAGCGCTCAGGTGGGTCGGCAAGCATGGTTTTAAATCCATGTCCTTTGCGCTCAGAATGGGGGGGGGGGGGGGGGGGGGGGGGGGGGGCAGTGTGGGGGGGGGGGGGGGGGGGGGGGGGGGGGGGGGGGGGGGGGGGGGGGGGGGGGGGGGGGGGGGGGGGGGGGGGGGGGGGGGGGGGGGGGGGGGGGGGGGGGGGGGGGGGGGGGGGGGGGGGGGGGGGGGGGTTCTCAGTGGTTCGGGCAGAGCATCGTATCGTAGCCATTTCTGCATTTCCGTCAATTGATGTGAAACCCATCGTGAAGCAATTTTTCTCATGGACAGGCGTTCCTTCAGAATGTGCAGCACAGTCGTATGCGCTAATCCTGTTTGTTCGGCCAGCCGACGAATCGTTTGGCGGCAATCACTGTCCATTAGTGCGGCAACAGCTTGCACGTCTGCATCGCTGACAATCGGACGACCTGGCCGCAGCATGTCTGCCACGTTTTGGCGTCCTTCATTGAATGCTTTCACCCATCTTGCTGCACTTCTGTAAGGCAATGCAAATTCCCCGCAAGCCTCTTGAAGCCCTTGATGACACTGTCATGCTGTACGACCGCTGGCACATTCAATTTTTATCCAACATCGTTGTTCTTGTTTTGAAAACATCCTGACAACACTTACTTTAGACTGCGAGCTAAGACAAGGATTCGTTCTGCGCATCACTCCGCATGCACGTGATGTAGGCAGGACGAGTCTTTTTGCTGAGAGGTAAGGTAGGTATGTAGTTTATGTGTGGTATACGCGATATTCTTTGGTTTTGTTGCGTAGCGTTTTTTCAGCTGTGTTGCCTTTATTAAAGTTCTAACCCTCATATTAATGAAGACAGACAATTTTTTTTAAAAAATGAATTCAAAAACTGCAATGATATGCACAACTGCAGGATCACAATTCAAAAGAAAAACGTTTGAATGATACTGAAACAGTAAGTAAATTTAAAGAAGCCAAGCTATGAAGTAGAATTAAATGAAGGTGTAATCTCATACTGGTATCATCCAATTTCAAAGCATGACCTTCACAAATATGCAAGTAGTATGCCCAAATGATGTACAACAATGAATGTTTTCTAATTATATATCAATAATCCTAGATAATTTGGCTTATTTAAAAGTCCATTGGCTAATATAAAATGTTTCATAGTTTGTAATTTTACCCTAACCTTTTGTTTGGTTTTTTTTCTTTCCGTGTTTTTAGTGTTAAAGCATGCTCTTTCAATGTGCCCGATTTTCTTACAAAATCTGCAGATACTTATCTTAAATTTATAAGAATTTCTATCACGATCAGTCCCCATATACTGCGAACATCTTTTACTTCTAGACCTTCTACCTGAAAAGTTTTGTTTTTCAAAATTTTGTTTTTGAGTGACTGACTTAGATTTACCTTTATTCCTCGCACTAAACTCCTTAATTTCTACTGATTTCCCAATTATTTCGTTTGCACCTTTTAATGCTATTTCTATTGCCAAAGCTATTTCTAAAGTGCCATCTAAACTTATATTATCCTGCTCCAAAATTATATCTGTGATAGCTCTATCCCTTAGACCAGAGGTGGGCAAAAGGTGGCCCGCGGGCCAGATCCGGCCCGTTGAAAAATTCTGCATGCAATTTTTTAAATCTCTTATATGCCGCAACATCCTCTTAAAATATATCTTATTTAATCTCTTATATATGTCTTATTTCTTAATAATATATATATATTATTTTATTGTAATAATTAAATTATTTATTTGTAGGCCTTTGTAAAATGAGTCAATCTAAAAAAAGAAAAGTTGATTTGGAGTGCAGAAATTTCAATGAAGCATGGATGGTAAAATACTTTTTTACAAACATTGATAAGAAAGCAATTTGTTTAATTTGCCAGGAAACAATTGCTGTTTTCAAGGAATAAAATTTAAACAGGCATTTTAAATCAAAACATCCAAAATATGCATCACTTTCTTTAAAAAGAACTTCAAAGTGCAGCAGAAAACATGACAAAAAACTTGAATAAGCAACAAAATATTTGTACCAAACAAAGTAATATTGAGAAATCTACCACAAAAGCAAGTTATGCTGTTGCACACAATTACTAAGTTCTGTAAACCTTTTACTGAAGCAGACTTTGTTAAACAACGCACGATACAAGTGTTGGAGATATGTTGTCCTGAAAAGAAACATTTTTGAAAACGTAAGCCTTTCGAAAACAATAGTACGATGGATCGAAAATATTGCAGAAAATTTACTTGACCAGCTAAGAAAAACAATTGCTGATTTTACATATTGTTCTCTGGCTTTAGATGAGTCCTGCGATATTACTGACACAAGTCAATTATTAATATTTATCCGAGGCATTAACAAGAAATGTGAAATTAGCGAGGACCTTCTTAGTGTGCATCCAATGAAAGATACAATTACTGGT